TATATTTTTGAGCTGATGTATACAAATCTTTAATGTCATCCTATCTTATATATATGTGGAGTAGCAAATAAATCTCTTATAAAAAAATTTATCTAATCATGAAATGGGTTGCTAGATAAGATAAAAATTGTACAATATTGGTTTTTTTTTTTTAAGAATATTGATAAAAACTTAATGTTATTGCTATTTTTTTTTTTTGAAGAATATCGATTTTTTTTTAAAAAAATTGAAGAATATTAGTTAATTATTAATAGTTTATATTTCTTTAAAAATGTTTTTTTTTAAAAAAAAAAATTGATTGAACGTTTTCTTAAAAACAAAATGAACATATATTTTCCTTTTTCAAATATTTAATTTTAAAGTTTTTGTATATAATAATTGTATAATTTATAGTGTTTTTAAAAAATTAAATCCTAATATCAAAAGATCATCTTTTAAAAAAGATAATTTTTAGTTTTAAAATAATTTAAATCTTAATAAATCATTATTCGTCATTTTCACCTACGTGGCAAAAATTTTAAATGTCATTCGTCATTTTTGCTTATGTGGCGAGTGAATTTTTTTAATTTAAAAATTAAATACAAATCTAACTTTTAATTGGTCGAAATAATACCTTTGCTTATGGCGCGCCAAATGCTCTCGAAAAATACCTACTTTATTTATATATATATTAGATTAGATTGTGGGAGTAGGTTGAGCATGACATAATTAGTATCCTACTAAGCCGTAAACAGGGGTAAAAAGCAAAAGGGGACACCATTTGGCCCATTTGTTTGCCCTTATTCTAAATTTTTCATCAACATTATTATTGTTATTATTATTATTAAAGTATAACTATTGCAACCAAAAAAGTCAAAAAAAAAAAAATAATCCCTAGCCTTTCTCTTCTCTCTCATAAACTCTAGCCTCCATCGTTAATTATGAAGGGCTTCCATCATCGAATTTTACGGGTGGAAGCCTTAATCATTTTTTTTTATTTTTTTTAGGGGGATTATAATAATGTCTCCCTCGAAAGAAAGAGTTTATCTCCTTTGAAAGGCAAGGTTTTTCGATCTCGTTCGAAAGATAGGGTTTTATTTACGTTTGATTTAGTCTCCGATTTTACGGGGCTGCGATTGATTATTATTGCTCAGATTCGGGTTACGAAATTATCACAAGAATTTTTTTCCCTCACAAAATTAAGAAGAAACGATGATAGATTCACTAAAAAAATCGAAGATGTCGTATGACTTTAATTAACGAAATATAGTGTCCTTTAGGTTATCGATCTTTAAAAAAAAGTATAATTGTTGCAAGAACACCACAAGAATATCTACTTTAAGAATATAGAGTCCTTTAGGTTTTCATGTTGGATTTGTTACAATATCTACTTTAAGAATATCAAAATTTTAGACCTCCAATACATATTTAGTAATAACTAGTATACCTTCTCAATTGTAATAATGATTTAAAAGCTATTTGCTTCATTCCAAAATATTTAATGTTCCAAATACCAAACAATTACTATTTATCACATCATTGCTAAAAATTTTAATTACCAGATAAAATTTTACGAAAATAAAACCCATAGTTCTAAGTAGTTTATAAAAAATATGTATTTTAATTTTAATTTAATGTTAAGAAAACATAATTGAATTATGTTTTATAACACTTAATTTGACCTATAACATAATTTTATTTATAAACATCCACTTTGTGTTCTGTAGGTAATTGCAAAAATTCTTATTGAAATTGTGAGGAAAATATGTCATTACCTATGAAATTTGAAAAATGTAAATATATGTCTTTTTAGTATATGAAAATTAATTGTACAAAATCAATTTTGTTTCCATAGACTAATAATCTATGAATTTATCTAGCGAAAATTCTATAGTAAACGACATGTACTACTACGTACCACTAAACCATATGTACCGCAATGTACCACTATTAAAGTTGATTAAATACATTATTTATTTTTTGCATTTGTTAAGCATGATTTGACTTTTGCTAAGATGGTGAATTTGCATTATAACTTTGATTAGTGGTCTAAGGATAAAATCTTTGTGCTCAACATATATTTTTTTACCCTTCTCATATTTTAATTTTTTTTCCCTTATACTACCTTCAAAAAAAAAAATTGAATTTGTTATCACTTTTACGTAAATTTATTATCACCCTAAACTCTGAAAGTATATTCCACCAAAAAAAAAAAAAAAAAAAAAATCTAAAAGACTATTCAATGGCTACGGTAAAATTGTAGCCATTGTAACATCTAAACCATTAAATTCAATTGAACTAATCTCACCCGTTTATTCGTTTGACCAATAAAGAAAATAAAGAAATTCAAATATATTAATCCAACACTGAAATTATAGAAAGTTATTTTACGATTAGGAACACAAGTATGAACAACAATTGTTCAATCTGAATTCTCTCACTCCATCCGATAATGGCTTCCATGTTTTTTTTTTTTGGTTCACCATTCATTAGCCACAAGCATTAGAAAGACTTATAAATTAAGTGGAAAGTCCCGTCATTGATTGTGGCAATTATAAAGTGGAAATCTGCCAACCATTGATCTACTATGGAGATCAGATTTTGCATACGATTGCTGCGCTAAATATCAATATAGAATTAAATATGATCATTGTTAAATTGGATTATGAAGCACTCAATAATCCTAGTTGGGCCATGTCGTTTGCAGATTTTCTTGAATTAGATTAGTAGTAATTAACATCTAAGCAGTCAAATTTATTCTTAATTACATAGAACATGAATTGATAGTATATGATTGAAAGTATACAGATTAGGGTTTTAAATTAATGAGGGGGGAGATTGAAATTAACAAAAACAATTACATTATACTTAGAATTATAGATTAGGGTTATGTTTCAGATTAATGAAAGGAGAGATTATATTGAAAAAAAAATAATATATTATCTCAATTGAATCTTCAAAGCTGTTGAATGATGTTATCCCCAAATTACAATTTGCTCCAAGCTTTAATTGTTAATCTGTGATGAATGAAAATTAACAAAGGAGGTAGGCAGAATGAGAGAGCAGGGAAGGATAGAAACTGAAAAAATCTTGAGAAAAATAAAATAAAATGGGGTTAAGTTAATAATAAAATATAATAATACATAGCAGTACATAGCATTTATAGTACATAGCGATATTTGTCATGTATTGTATACTCTCCTTTTATCCAGACTTTATTACCCCAAATTACACAATTAATCAAAGATTATTACATGAAAATTTTATTTAATCTTCCCAAATTTTCTTATTTTAAAAATATTGATGTAGGATTAAGAAGTTAATACGGAGTATTATATTTGTTGTTTTGAAAGAAGTTAATGACATGTAATTTATTTTTAAAACTTTAACTTAAAATATACTTGTATTATTTATTATTGATTTTTTTTTATAACTTTCCAATATAAGGGACTAATGTTTTGTTAGAAAAAAATTTCACCATGAATTGACGCGTGTCATTTATGAATTTTGGTGAAAAATTTATGATACAGTTATCCATCATACAATTATCTATAATACAGTTATGGATAGATATATATTACACTCATAAGATATTATGTTAATTTTTACAAAAATATTTCCTCAAATTGAAATATATCACAGTAAAACTTTCCTTTATTTTTTGATTATTGGAATATTACTATGGATTTATATATATGGTAACAGTATATTTTTTTTTATTTAAAATTAATTCCAAATAAGATACTAGTATTGATACGTTTTTTAAAAGAAAACTTTCCCGTTTTCAAAAAAAAAAATTTAAAAATTCCTAATATAAGAGACTAATGTTTTGATAGAAAAAATTTTCACCAAAATAAAAATTGATATAAGAGACTAATGTTTTGATAGAAAAAAAATTCACCAAAAATTGATACATGTCAGGGTGTGTTATATTCACCTGAGTTTTGAAAAAAAATTCACCAAAAATTGATACATGTCAGGGTGTTTTATATTCACCTGAGTTTTACTTATTTGAACTTATCTGAACTTGCCTGAACTTATTAAAACTTATTTCAGTTGTAATTTGAACTTGGACAACCCTTATTAGAACTTGTTTTTCCTGAACTGAACTTACCTGAACTTATTAGTCTTGAAATAAATGAAAATAAGTTGAATAGAACAGATCTTCATTCTTGATTTCGTACGTCTTTAGTGTGTGTGTGTGTGTATATATATATATTGTATATATATATATGTGTATATGTATATATATATGTATGTATATGTATACACACACACACATATATATATTTCCTATGGAATTGCAAGAATGAGAATGAGAATGAGAAAACGAGAAAACTACTTAAAAGTTGACACATGTCCCATTTCCTAATTTTCAAAAAACCAAAAATTTCTTTCTTATGTACTTTGTATTTTATATGGAACACATGACAGTTTTTCACTGGCTTTCTCATATTCTATATATATATCTATATATATATATATATATATATATATATAACATTCATAAGATATTAGGTTAATTTTTAAAAAAAAATTTCTTCAAATTAAAATTTATTATGATACAACTTTCCTCTAATATTTTATTGTTAGAATATTACTATGATTGGTAACAATATATTTTTTTCAATTTAAAATTAATTCCAAATCAGATATTATTATTGATTTTTTTATTTTTTTTTAACATTTCTAATACTCCCTCCGATTTTTTTTAATTGCAACTTTCATGAGTATTGTGGTTCACGAGGAAAATTTTAAGGGGTATGTGGTAGTGGGGTTAATCAAAGGTGATTAAAGTGTGTAGAGAGAGAAAGTTTGGCCCACCACTTAGAAAAGTAGTGGGTAAAATACTTTAAAATAGTATATAGAGAGAGAAAGTTTGGCCCACCACTTGGTAAAGTAGTGGTAAAGTAGTAATTTTAAGGGTTTTGGTTTACCCAAAATAGAAATAAAATAGAAAGTTGCATTTAATTTGAATCGGACTTAAATAGCAAAAGTTGCAATTAATAAAAATCAGAGGGGGTATAAGAAACTAAGGTTTTGATGGGAAAAAATTTCACTACATGTGTCATTCCTGATTTCGCCTTTAATATATAGTTTAGATAGATTTTTGCAATGTATACATGCTCTACTTTGACCATATTAGTGATTAATGATAATAAAAAAATACTGTCAATTGTCATCTGCAGATGTAAGAAAAAAAATTCATATGCAATCCTATAAAAATAATATTTAAATACCAACCTTTAACATTTTATATTTATTGGCAATTAAAAAAATAAATAATATTTGAATCTTGCTAATGAGTATTCCAGGCGTTAGATAACAATTAAGCATATTTTTTAAAATGATATTAATTTGGGAATGCATGCCAAACGCGTCGATCGGTGTAAATTATGTGATTTCAATTTAATATTTTTACTTTTATTAGCTTATCAAATGTTTAGGGCATTCGTTAACTTATTCCATATTATTCCTATATTAACATAAAAAATGTCAAAATTTGACCCAATTTATTCGGAAAGAAACTCGATTTAGATTTCAACTTATATGACTTGAACTAGACTCGACCCGAGGCTACTGTACCCGAGTCAATTATTCGATTTGACACTTTTAAATCTCTAATATATTCGTTTCTAATTATTTACAACGATTAGACATTTTCGACTTACACATTATATCAAATTGTTGCAAATAATATATGAAACGGAGTTAATACATTGTATGTGTTGTGTTGGGTTAGGCTAATGTACTCCGACGGAGGAAATATTATTTTACAAAATGACCCATTTCACTGTGGATGACCGCATTCCCACACAATCCCATTACACCAAATTCACACAATTTGTCAGACTTTGAGCTAAATTACTTAATTAACGCGTCCATCATTCTTACTCTTACTCCATTACTTTTCTTTACTTTATTTTACTTTCTTTATTTTCTCTCTCCAATTTTTTCCTTTATTTAATCACCTTCACATGTCTATAAAAGCGTGCAATTGCAATACTTTCGCACTAAATCTAGTCTTCAAAAGCAGCCGTATCAACTAACACTTCCTTTTTTACTTTGCTAAAATCTCAATCTCATACGTTTTCTTAATGTGAATGTAACTCAATATCATTGCAATGAATACCAAATTAACGTAATATTTTTGTTTTTTTTTCCTCATTTAATGTTTGATCCATGATTCTTCATCGCCGAGTAAAACGCTGTGATTTGCAGAGGTTCTGCAAAAATGAAAAGTTTGGTTGCTCTTTTGTTTGTTCTGGGTTGTGCAATCAGCTGGGTTTCTTGCGTTTCAGCTGGCTTCAATCATCAACAATCCATCAACCCCATCAACTCTATTCTGGGTAATTATCATATTATTGAATTATTTGTTCATTTTGTTTTTCTGGGTTTTCGTTAGATTTCATTTTTGTTGTTGATTTTTTGATATTATGTGAGTTTCATTTGGTTATTTGGGATGTGTGTGTTGTTCTGTTCTTGAAATAGATTTTTCTGGGAAAAGGGTGGTTATATTATTGATTATTTTGCCTTTTGTTCTTAGTAGCTTAGATGAACCTTTTCCCTTTTTTTTTTTGTGATTAATTGCATTATTTTTTTTTTTTGATGATACTGCTTAATTTAGCTCTGTATTATTGTTACTTTCAAAACACAAAAAAAACAAAAAGCTCTGTATTATTGTTAAAGAGATTGTGTCTTTTCTTTTTTCTTTTATTTTATTTTATTTTATTTTAGAAACTGAAAAAATCTTGAGAAAAATAAAATAAAATGGGGTTAAGTTAATAATAAAATATAATAATACATAGCAGTACATAGCATTTATAGTACATAGCGATATTTGTCATGTATTGTATACTCTCCCTTTATCCAGACTTTATTACCCCAAATTACACAATTAATCAAAGATTATTACATGAAAATTTTATTTAATCTTCCCAAATTTTCTTATTTTAAAAATATTGATGTAGGATTAAGAAGTTAATACGGAGTATTATATTTGTTGTTTTGAAAGAAGTTAATGACATGTAATTTATTTTTAAAACTTTAACTTAAAATATACTTGTATTATTTATTATTGATTTTTTTTTATAACTTTCCAATATAAGGGACTAATGTTTTGTTAGAAAAAAATTTCACCATGAATTGACGCGTGTCATTTATGAATTTTGGTGAAAAATTTATGATACAGTTATCCATCATACAATTATCTATAATACAGTTATGGATAGATATATATTACACTCATAAGATATTATGTTAATTTTTACAAAAATATTTCCTCAAATTGAAATATATCACAGTAAAACTTTCCTTTATTTTTTGATTATTGGAATATTACTATGGATTTATATATATGGTAACAGTATATTTTTTTTTATTTAAAATTAATTCCAAATAAGATACTAGTATTGATACGTTTTTTAAAAGAAAACTTTCCCGTTTTCAAAAAAAAAAAATTTAAAAATTCCTAATATAAGAGACTAATGTTTTGATAGAAAAAATTTTCACCAAAATAAAAATTGATATAAGAGACTAATGTTTTGATAGAAAAAAAATTCACCAAAAATTGATACATGTCAGGGTGTGTTATATTCACCTGAGTTTTGAAAAAAAATTCACCAAAATTGATATATGTCAGGGTGTTTTATATTCACCTGAGTTTTACTTATTTGAACTTATCTGAACTTGCCTGAACTTATTAAAACTTATTTCAGTTGTAATTTGAACTTGGACAACCCTTATTAGAACTTGTTTTTCCTGAACTGAACTTACCTGAACTTATTAGTCTTGAAATAAATGAAAATAAGTTGAATAGAACAGATCTTCATTCTTGATTTCGTACGTCTTTAGTGTGTGTGTGTGTGTATATATATATATTGTATATATATATATGTGTATATGTATATATATATGTATGTATATGTATACACACACACATATATATATTTCCTATGGAATTGCAAGAATGAGAATGAGAATGAGAAAACGAGAAAACTACTTAAAAGTTGACACATGTCCCATTTCCTAATTTTCAAAAAACCAAAAATTTCTTTCTTATGTACTTTGTATTTTATATGGAACACATGACAGTTTTTCACTGGCTTTCTCATATTCTATATATATATCTATCTATATATATATATATATATATATATATATATAACATTCATAAGATATTAGGTTAATTTTTTAAAAAAAATTTCTTCAAATTAAAATTTATTATGATACAACTTTCCTCTAATATTTTATTGTTAGAATATTACTATGATTGGTAACAATATATTTTTTTCAATTTAAAATTAATTCCAAATCAGATATTATTATTGATTTTTTTATTTTTTTTTTAACATTTCTAATACTCCCTCCGATTTTTTTTAATTGCAACTTTCATGAGTATTGTGGTTCACGAGGAAAATTTTAAGGGGTATGTGGTAGTGGGGGTAATCAAAGGTGATTAAAGTGTGTAGAGAGAGAAAGTTTGGCCCACCACTTAGAAAAGTAGTGGGTAAAATACTTTAAAATAGTATATAGAGAGAGAAAGTTTGGCCCACCACTTGGTAAAGTAGTGGTAAAGTAGTAATTTTAAGGGTTTTGGTTTACCCAAAATAGAAATAAAATAGAAAGTTGCATTTAATTTGAATCGGACTAAAATAGCAAAAGTTGCAATTAATAAAAATCAGAGGGAGTATAAGAAACTAAGGTTTTGATGGGAAAAAATTTCACTACATGTGTCATTCCTGATTTCGCCTTTAATATATAGTTTAGATAGATTTTTGCAATGTATACATGCTCTACTTTGACCATATTAGTGATTAATGATAATAAAAAAATACTGTCAATTGTCATCTGCAGATGTAAGAAAAAAAATTCATATGCAATCCTATAAAAATAATATTTAAATACCAACCTTTAACATTTTATATTTATTGGCAATTAAAAAAATAAATAATATTTGAATCTTGCTAATGAGTATTCCAGGCGTTAGATAACAATTAAGCATATTTTTTAAAATGATATTAATTTGGGAATGCATGCCAAACGCGTCGATCGGTGTAAATTATGTGATTTCAATTTAATATTTTTACTTTTATTAGCTTATCAAATGTTTAGGGCATTCGTTAACTTATTCCATATTATTCCTATATTAACATAAAAAATGTCAAAATTTGACCCAATTTATTCGGAAAGAAACTCGATTTAGATTTCAACTTATATGACTTGAACTAGACTCGACCCGAGGCTACTGTACCCGAGTCAATTATTCGATTTGACACTTTTAAATCTCTAATATATTCGTTTCTAATTATTTACAACGATTAGACATTTTCGACTTACACATTATATCAAATTGTTGCAAATAATATATGAAACGGAGTTAATACATTGTATGTGTTGTGTTGGGTTAGGCTAATGTACTCCGACGGAGGAAATATTATTTTACAAAATGACCCATTTCACTGTGGATGACCGCATTCCCACACAATCCCATTACACCAAATTCACACAATTTGTCAGACTTTGAGCTAAATTACTTAATTAACGCGTCCATCATTCTTACTCTTACTCCATTACTTTTCTTTACTTTATTTTACTTTCTTTATTTTCTCTCTCCAATTTTTTCCTTTATTTAATCACCTTCACATGTCTATAAAAGCGTGCAATTGCAATACTTTCGCACTAAATCTAGTCTTCAAAAGCAGCCGTATCAACTAACACTTCCTTTTTTACTTTGCTAAAATCTCAATCTCATACGTTTTCTTAATGTGAATGTAACTCAATATCATTGCAATGAATACCAAATTAACGTAATATTTTTGTTTTTTTTCCTCATTTAATGTTTGATCCATGATTCTTCATCGCCGAGTAAAACGCTGTGATTTGCAGAGGTTCTGCAAAAATGAAAAGTTTGGTTGCTCTTTTGTTTGTTCTGGGTTGTGCAATCAGCTGGGTTTCTTGCGTTTCAGCTGGCTTCAATCATCAACAATCCATCAACCCCATCAACTCTATTCTGGGTAATTATCATATTATTGAATTATTTGTTCATTTTGTTTTTCTGGGTTTTCGTTAGATTTCATTTTTGTTGTTGATTTTTTGATATTATGTGAGTTTCATTTGGTTATTTGGGATGTGTGTGTTGTTCTGTTCTTGAAATAGATTTTTCTGGGAAAAGGGTGGTTATATTATTGATTATTTTGCCTTTTGTTCTTAGTAGCTTAGATGAACCTTTTCCCTTTTTTTTTTGTGATTAATTGCATTTTTTTTTTTTTTGATGATACTGCTTAATTTAGCTCTGTATTATTGTTACTTTCAAAACACAAAAAAACAAAAAGCTCTGTATTATTGTTAAAGAGATTGTGTCTTTTCTTTTTTCTTTTATTTTATTTTATTTATTTATATGGGTGGTTAAATTCATTTATATGAGTGCTATTTTGGGATAACTTTAGTGAAAGAAAATTCCATAATTTATTTCAAGACAATGTGGGTGTTGTTAAATGTTATCATTTTCGTATGGAATAGAATAATTATATTGTTACAAAAGGAAAGGAAGGTTAATAGAAACAAAAAGGTTGGAATGTAGCAATCAAGTAATAAATAATTTCTGTTAATTACTGGAATTTGATGCATCTACCTGATCAACTACCTTAATTGCCAATCATTTTCTTGATTTGGTATATACTATTTTCTTGTTCAATAATCATTTGATTTCCTTTCGGATCAATGCCGGGAAATTCTGTTCTTGGTTGTAGCTATTACATATTTGAATATCACTATCTGAGTAGTATGCCTTTGCCTTACTCTTCCAAGCATGTTGTAGTATTGTACTATCATGAGATGTTGTATTATCATGGTGCTGTTTGAAGAACATTTTTCTTATTTTTGTTGATATTCTGCTAATTATTAAATTATGCAGGCAACCAGAATTTGGGTCCTTTGAAAGATGGAATCTTAGGTCAAGCCCAAGCACCGAGCCCTGCATATGATGAGCCTAAGATCCCTTTGGTGTTGGCCGGGAATCGAACTAAGAGACCCGATATACTCAGAAAATTTAGGATTTATCAGGATGGATGGGACATTTCAAATAAGCATTACTGGGCTGTAAGGGACTTATTCTTTTTTTATTTTGTTTGTTATAGTTTATTTTTGTGGTCTCATTGCTGTTCTGTTCAGATATGGATGAATTTAATAATATAAATTTGTTTTTGATTGTTTGTGTGCTTTGCTTATGTTTGTTTGTGAAATGTTTGGTTTCGGAATGTATTTGTTTTGATCTTTGGGGATCTTATCACTCCTGAAGAGCTGAGTTGCTGACGTCCCAGAGTTGTTTTAATACTGTTGTATATGTCTGAGACTTTAGTGCTTAGTGCCGTAGTTTACTAGTTTAAAAATGATCTAATTTTAACTAATCCGAATCCTGGTTGTCTGTTTTCTTTGTTTGTAGGGGTTGGGAACAAAAGTTTATCTCATCGTTTCTTTTAGTTTTCCTTTCTTATAATTCTGTTTGTCACTAAATACAACTATGAAATATTACATCAGGATCAAAGTTAGTAGCTTCAGATTTCTATTAACAAATAACTTTGACATGGTTTTTAATTTGTACTTTCAGTTGCACATGCTAATAAACTTTCATTTTTAGATCTAGATCTTTGACTATATTATTAGACTTGGATCGTGAACTAAAAACTTGAAAAATTTCTCATGGTACAATTAGCTGTAAAAATGTTCTAATTTGTAGAATACATATGCAGTAAATGTTTGTATCATGTATCATTTATGCCAAATCATTCTGTGTAGGGAATTGATAATGTGAGACCACTATAAAAACATAGAATAATTCAATTATGGTAATGTTGACTGTTGAATACGGATGACTGATCCATCCCATACTTAAAAATATATGATTTTTGCACATGATTATGCGAAGGTCACTGATGGAAGATTCCGTTGTAGTGAACTTTGAATTGCTATTACCTAATTTGTAGCATGTGTAAACTTTAGACTCCTGCCAAGCTTGAGATGTTGTATTGCAGTAGCCTCTTAATCTGATTTTTCTCTTGCAGTCTGTTGCTTTTACCGGTGCTGCTGGTTTCATCATCACGCTCATATGGTTGGTTTCCTTTGGTATAACACTACTTGTTCACCATTGTTTTGGGTGGAGGATAAACTTCAAAGGGAAAGGATCAACGCCCTCCCAAAGGATTCGTCTTGTGCTGCTAATTCTTTTCTCATGTGCCTCTATGTAATGACTTGAACCCTTCCAATCAGTTGTTTAAAATTACATGTTTTAATTTTTGTTTAAGATTTTTCTCTCATGTGTTTCTATCGGTTCAGTGTGACTTTGCCATAATGTTGCCTTCTATCTACCAAAGAAAATGAGCCTGCAAAGTGCAAACATGAGTGAAGTACTTGGCCTTCATAATAGTTCTTTTGATCAAGTATTATTTACACTAATAGTGTGTGAAGAATATAACTAAGTGTCCTTAATTATATTTCATTCCTTTTGACCCTTTTGCTGTCCACGTTATAAAACTCTCTATCCTAGTCCTAGTTTGTGCTTTTATGCTTTATCTTCATTGCCCTTAATATGTAAATTTAGACAAATATGCTCGATTATGAGTGTCGGATTTGCCTTGTACAATTCATATTATAATTAATTATATCCAATGACATAAAATTTCAGAGGGAAATTTTGCTTCGGATAAAAAAGAAACTAATTGTACCTATAGACATTAAATCGCTAAATGTCTTGGAGGAAGTAAAAGAATATGAATGGTAGATAACATGTAACATTATCATACTTTTACAAGAAAGTATCAGATGCTTCCAGCTTTGCTTTGCATTTTTATAACAAGCTATTTATCTCTAATTAAAGGTGCAAGATAAATAGGGAATGCTATGTTTACCTCTCAAACTTCTGATGCTTCTTTTATCTATGTTATATCTCAAGCCTAATCCTGATTTACTCTGTTGATTCTTATACACAGGGTGGGCTGTATTCTTTTATCTGTTGGCCAACTTGAATTTCATAGCGAAGGCTTGCAGACATTGAAATATGTTGTAAACCAATCGGACTACACAGCTCAAATGCTAAGAAATGTGTCAGAATACTTAACTCTTGTAAAGTCTGTTGATGTCCCTCAATTCAACCTGCAACAGAGTACCATGCAGGAGATTGATGAGCTGAATATGCGCTTGAGTTCTGGTGCTGACACGTTAACCGAGAAAACTAATAAAAATTCCGTAAAAGTTAGAAGAGTCTTCAATACTCTGTATGAACTCATATACCCCAATTATTTCATTTTCACATGAATTTTGAGATTCTCATGTTTTAATTGAGGATGTTCTAACACAATTTATATTTTGGCGCTCTGTTCTTATATCTTGCTGCAGACGATCAGCGTTAATTATTGTCGCTTCTGTGATGCTTGTTTTGGCTATTTTGGGTCTGGGTATGTAAAATTGGTGACACTCATTAACTTTTGCTATTTCATCTCTACGATTGTTTGATTTCAGGGGTCTCATAATTTTTTTTTTTTTTTTTTTTTTTTTTTTTTTTTTTTGTTTTTTTTTTGTTGCGCAGTGCTTTCTCTCCTTGGACACCCAAATGTGATTCACATGTAAGTCTTTGCAGAATCATTTTTTGTCCTTCCTATCACCAACGTACATTACTAATAAATGTCTATATTGTTGGTGGTCTGTTTTTTTTCTTTTATGCTAATATATGTCTCATACCTGGACTGCAGATTCATTTTCAGTGGATGGATACTTGTGGCGGTTACATTGACTCTTTGTGGAACATTTATGATCTTGAACTCGTAAGTTAGCTGCAAGAAACTCTCTTCATTACTTCTTTGAAGTTTAGAAATGACGGAACCATGGTTGGAAATTCAAGCTCACCTTGAGACAATTTCTATTCGTCTTCTATAATTTCTATCATTAATTGTTTGCAGTCTAACTGATAGTCAATGGAATGAACTTAATATGTGATGCAGTGCTATTTCAGACTCATGTGTGGCAATGCAAGAGTGGGTAGATAATCCTCGAGCTGAGACAGCTCTTAGCAACATTCTTCCATGTGAAGATGAGAGAGCAACCAACCAGACACTGTTCGAAAGTAGAAAAGTTGTTGGCTTGCTTGTAAGCACTCTCAATACGTATATTTACACTGCAGCAAACACGGATCGACCACCATCTGATCAATTCTACTACAACCAATCTGGACCTTTGATGCCCCCTCTTTGCTATCCTTATGATGATAAAATGCAAGATCGTGAGTGTTCACCACAGGAGGTGTCTATGACAAATGCTTCTACGGTATGTATGCTATATTGCCTTTATTTATTTATTTGCACTCGTACAATGTGCTGAAAAGCTTCAGGCCTTTCGGTCTCTAGGATGATATCTAGACTACTCTGAGATGTGAGAATACCTTATCTTGCATATAGTAAAGCTGTGTATACTCGTCAATGGCCTTTTAAGTATTACTTCAATGTAGTGTTTGCAAGTAATAAATGAAATTTTCACCCGAACCATACTGCAGGTGTGGGAGAAATACATCTGCACGACATCCGTGGATAATAAAAATTGCACAAGTGTAGGTAGGTTGACTCCAGGGGTATATAGTCAACTGGTGCTGGCTGTTAACGCAAGTTACGCTGTGCTGCATTACACCCCTGAGATGCTCAACCTTCAAAACTGCAATTTCTTGCGGGACACATTTATGACAGTTACATCGAGATTTTGCCCTCCTTTGGAACATAAACTCCTGATTGTGATTATAGGTTTGGGATTTATATCAGCTGGTATAATGCTGTGTCTCATTCTTTGGTTAGTCTATGCAAACCGCCCCCGAAGGGAGGAAGCGTTTGTGAAAACCCCATCAATAACAGGCTCAGGCAGTTGCAACGGGCTGAGCGACCGCCATGAAAACAAGGATGGTCGTGTTAGTATGATATCTTTTGTAGTAACATCTCCAGCTAGAGTTGTTCCAGATATAGAAAAATAGTTCCTTGATCTGAGATTTTCTTCCCACCTTCCAATTTATGATAGAGAAACTGAGGTGGTGCCATTTGTTTAACACCATCTTGAGTTTGTGGCTGGTAGGAATTGTATGATTATTGTATATTGTATCGTAATTTTGTATAGTATATTGTTTAATAATAGAAATGAGCTACGATTCTTGTATTCCATAAAATGTTTCGGCTGTAAAATCTGGGTACAAACGGGTAATACTATACCTGATGTCCTGATCTATATCAGGCTATGGGCTGAAATTAGTTACGGAGTAGTACATTACAACATCGTATGTTTTTAATTGTACTTTTAGTTTGCAAAAAATTGACTTTTGAACTATTCACAAACTATATTTGACTGTATGCTTGACTTTGGGAATTCTTTCTTCCTAAGGGGTCTAAGGGATTATCTCATCTTTTGGCTGTATAAGTGCTAGAAAATTCTCTCTACACCGTGTGCTGATGCTAAATACTAAGGCAACACAAATGTTGATATTGAATTGTACTAACTCCGTCATTTCTTACTTGACCTTCATTGTCCCCTTCGATAGGGTACTTCGGTTTATAGATTGTGAATGCAACTGAGTTTAGAAGCATAGGGATATCCGGATATGTATATTTATTTCGTTCAAAAGTTTGATTTAATTGCAACATTTTCTTTTGTCATCGATTTTGATTAATGGCGACACTTGTTTATTTGTCAAGGATCTAATACTAATTTATTGTATTTCTTTCTGTACTAACCCCGCTTGTACTATTTTACTTACAAAACTTGTTTAATTATGTCTCTTCCCTACTAACAATTAATTAAATATACCTCCCACGACTATATTATTATATGATTAAATTCTCATTTTGGTCTCTAACATATAAATTTCCTTAAACTATGTGCAATGTCTACTCGTCTACTCGACACTTTAACTATTTTTGGAGTTCAAGCAAAATAATGTACAACCACTTGCTATGGATCAGTGGCGGAGCTAGGGTGGGTTCAAGTGGGTTCATTGAACCCACTGATTTTTTGAAAAAAATTAAAAACTTTTTATTTTAAAAAAAAAAAAAATCAAAATAGGTTTAAATAGAATATTTGTGTATTATATGACAACAAGTAAAGTTGTAGCCCAATGGTTATTTTTACCTCCCATCACACAAGAGTTTGTGGGTTCAAAACCCATAACTCACACTTTTTTTTTTTTTAATTTTGTTTCCTGAGCTTTCCCTGCTTCCAGCTTTCCTCTTCCTCATTCCCCCAAATTGCAAAACCCTAACTTCTTCCTCCTTCTCTTAATCTCTTCCCGTTCTTCCTCCTTCAGTCCTTCTCTTCCCGTTCTTCCTCCTTCTCTTCCCGGCGCAACACGGCAGCAGTCAGCAGAACGCCAGAACACGGTGGCAGCGGCAGCGCACCAGCCACTCACCCAGCAGGCCAGCAGACCCACCGTCGTCCGTCACAGCACTGACAGCCTCACAGCCGTGTATCGGTGTATGTAGGTAAGTGAATTTGGGGATTTTTTTTTTTGCAAATGTAATTTACTTCTCAATTTGGGGATTTTTTTTTTGCTAAATCATTGAATACTTGAAATTCATATGCTAAATTGCTAATATACATTACGAATTGCCAATTTTTTGTAAATTGCTGAAGTTTGGTTATAATTATCTAATTTACTTCTCAAGTTCTCAATTTGGGGATTTTTTTTTGTTACATTGTTGAATTTCATATGCTATTTTCTGTATTTCGTTTTCTGCCTTCTAGTTTTCATAATTTCATATGCTATTTCGTTTTCTGCCATCTAGATTTCGTTTACTAATTGAGTAATTGACTGTAATCTTTAATTACGATAGTTATAATTAGCTTTCTAGATTTATCATTCATTCATTGATTTCATTCTGCATTTATCATGTGTGTGTAGCAGACTAGCAGTATATACCTATTATACCATGAGTTTAGAGTCATTTTGGAAACGTGCCGGGAAGTCACAAAAGTCTTCAACTTGTTCTTCACTTAGTTCAAGGGATCCTCCAATAGAAGAACATGTGTCTCCTAATGATGATGAGGTTCCTATTGCTGCAACAATTCCACCACCTGAGAACACAGGTCCAAGTGTTCCAAATACTACTGTTGACTCCGATGATACTCGCATTTATGATGTTGATCTTCTTCCACATGACCCTGGAAAAAGAATTCCAATTATGGAGTATCCTCCTAATGATCGAGATGCCGTAAGGAGAGGCTATATTACAAAGAAACGTTGTGATCCACGCACACATAATTTTCCTCAAAGAAAAGTTGGAGGTATGCGCCGTTTTAATGTTACTTGGTTTGATAAATATGAGTGGCTTGAATATAGTGTTGAGAAAGATACGGCTTTTTGTTTTGTGTGCTATTTGTTCACTGATAAAGTTGATTATTCTTTGGCTGTTAATGATTCCTTTATTAAAGGGGGATTTAGAGGATGGAATAAGACTGGTAGATTCGATGTTCATGTGGGTGGTATTGGTAGTTTCCATAATCAGGCTAATGAGAAATATAGTATGTTTATCAACCCAAAGACATCAGTTGCTGAATCTCTTTGCACTTATTCTAAGGAAGCTAAACTACAATACAAATCTCGCTTGACTTATTCATTGAAATGTATTAGATTTCTTTTAAATCAAGGTTTAGCTTGTCGTGGGCATAATGAAAGTGAAGAATCTTGGAATAGGGGTAATTTTCTTGCACTCTTAACATGGTTTTCAGAAAATAATAGTGAGGTAGCAAAGGTTGTTCTAGGTAATGCCCCGGGAAATAATCGAATGACTAGTCCTTCAATTCAAAAAGAACTTATTAATTGTTGTGCCAAAGAAACCACTAGACTTCTTATTGATGATATTGGGGATGACTATTTTGGAATAATGGCTGATGAATCAAGTGATGTATCTCAAAAGGAACAAATGGCCCTTTGCTTGCGTTATGTCAATAATAAAGGGAAGATAAATGAGAGGTTTCTTGGAATTGTACATGTTAAGGATACTACTGCTTTGTCACTAAAGTTGTGCAATTGAGTCTTTGCTTATGGAATATTCATTGAGTTTGTCTAGAGTTCGTGGACAAGGTTATGACGGTGCTAGTAATATGAGGGGGGAGATAAATGGTCTCAAGACTTTGATCATGAATGAAACAAAACAAGCCTATTATATTCATTGTTTTGCTAACCAACTTCAATTAACCCTTGTTGCTGTTGCTAAGGATAATGATGATTGTATTTGGTTGTTTGATCAACTTGCTATTTTGTTGAATATTATTGGTGTTTCTTGTAAGCGAAGGGAAATGATAAGAGAAATACAATCTCAACATATTCTACAAGCATTAGAACTAGGAGAAATTGAAAGTGGGCAAGGTTTAAACCAAGAACATGGCTTAGGTAGGCCTGGTGATACTAGGTGGGGATCACATTACAAAACTGTTTCAAATGTTACCGCATTGTATGCTACTATTGTTAAAGTTCTTGAGAAGATTGGATCAAATAAGATTTATAAGGAAGATCGCGTGAAGGCTATCACTGTCATGTCTACATTTGAATCATTTGAATTTGTATTTGTGATACATTTGATGTCCGAAATATTGACTAAGGAGGGATTACAACAAATGAGGGACCATGGGTGGGAAGACTTTTTACATCTTGTGGTTTGTTTTTGTGTTAAACATGATGTAGAAGTTCCTACTATGGATGATATGTATGTTCCTCGTGGAAGGTCAAGACGCTTCTTTGCCAAAGTTTCAAATCTTCATCGATTTCGGGTAGAAATGTTTATAAGTGCCATTGATTTACAACTCCAAGAGCTCAATAGTAGATTTGATGAAGAAAATATGGAGTTACTTATTTGTGTGTCATGCTTAAACCCGATCAATTCATTTGCGGCATTTGATATGCAAAAGTTGTTGAGACTTGCTGAGTTATATCCCAAAGAGTTTCCAACTAATGATATGACGATGACTGCACTTCGTCATGAGCTTCAATTTTATATTAATGATGTGCGCCAAGATGCAAGATTTGGAGACTTGAAGGGTATTCATGAGCTTTCTATGATGCTTGTTGAAACAAATAAGCATACTACTTACAACTTAGTTTACTTGCTTATAAGACTAGCATTGATCCTTCCGGTTGCAACTGCAAGCGTGGAACGAGTGTTTTCCTCAATGACATACGTAAAAAATAAGTTGCGAAATAGTATGGGTGATCAACTATTGAATGATAATTTAGTCACTTTTCTTGAAAGAGATTTATTTTCAAGAGTTAGTGATGATGATGTATTGGAACGCTTCCAAAGTATGAAGACTCGAAGAATGCTTCTGTAGTCTTTTTTTTTCATTTTTCTATGTGTAATCTATTTGTAATCCATAGTTTGAACTTATTTATGTACTGAATATTTAATTATTGTATTTTTATTCCTTTGTTAATTATGATTTCAAATTTCGGAAGTTTCGAACCCACACTTTGAAAATCCTGGTGACGCCACTGCTATGGATACAAGGGTGTAAAGAGAAAAAACACCACATATTCTCATAAGAAGTTTAGTATTCTCTCCGTCTTAGATTAGTTTTGACACTTATTATGGTATATCAATAGTTATTTTATTGCAAAAATAGATTTAATAGGAGATAGTAGGGTATTATTTAATTAAAAAGTAAACGTGTGAAGTGTTTTTTTGGATGTGAAAGAGTGTAAGACCCTAACTTTTAGTAGTGGATGAGAAAGGTGTATAAAAATAATAGTGATGTGTTGCTAAAAATAGAATTGTAATAACTAATTTGAGATAAATAAAGTGTAAAAATTTTCCCTAAATAAAAAAAAGTGTAAAATTTTGTGTATACATTATTTTATAATTTTCTTAACTTATTTAGAACTAATATTGCTATAATATTATAAATATGGGAATAGGAATAACTATGACCAAGGAGACTTAGGCTTTGTTTAGTTCAACTTAATTTTACTTATTTCAGAAAAAACAAGTTCAGATTAGATGAGATCAGAAAAAATAAGTTTAGATCAGATCATCATTTTATGTGCAATTTTTTATCGCTAAATATCATTAATTTCACAATGAAAAAAATTATGACAATTACATATTAATAAAATACACATTATTACGAATCTAACAAGATCCCACTTGATATATTTTTTCCTTACAGATTATCGTACACTTAAGGTCAAAGTTTGGTCAAATCAGACAATAATATCATATCAGATCAGGCTAAATCATATTAGATTAGACCAAATCAGATAAGATCAAATAAGATAAGTTCAGATAAGCGAAAATAAGGTGAACAAAACAGGAGCTTACACAAATTTAGCAATGTTAGTCATTTTTTTCTTTTTGGATAACAGTTATCTACTTATCCCACCATTATTTTCTAGACTAATTTGTTTTAATGGTTAAAAAAAAAAGAAGTAATGTTCAGAATGGAGACACCATTGCAAATTACTCTACTCCCTCACTCCTTTTTTTTTTTTTTTTTCTGTTTTCTTTTTTTTTATTTATTTATTTATTTTTGACTATTCATGGCTTTCAAAATATGTCATAAAACGTATACTCATTCTGTTTCGTAATAATTGCAACACCTCCATTTTTGGAAAGGACCTCACTATTATTTTATAATTTCTCGTTCCCACTAATCCCACTTTCACAAATATTTTATCAATTCTTTTTCCTACCAACCCCCCTTACACTACTTTTTATTATTTCTCTTTCTTACTAGCCATACTTTATATTATAAAAAAATCCTCTTTTGGTCTCCACCCATAATTTTCCAAAAATTTTGTGCACACCCTAGTGTTGCGATTATTAAGAAACGGAGGGAGTATATCTTTATTTTCATATACTTGAAGATTATAAAAACTTGATATTAAATAAAATATAGAATGAGACGAATACAACAAGTTCTCACATGACTATATTATGTAGGGAGATAGGTACTATATTGCGGAATTTCACGAATCATATTTGTTCGCACCTAATCAGGATCTACAAACATAACACATAAAAAAACATATAATTTATACCTTTGATGCGTGATTCCACATGCAATCAACTACAAACTCTAGGAGAACAAGAACCTCAAACACGATTCCTCTACTTGGTCCACGAGCTAGGATTGAATCTCCACTAATACTAGTTAGTTGGGCACAAACACTTCAAACCACCTTCTACGGATAGGAGGAGGAGAAAACCGGCCACGAATCACCACCACACACCACACGCACACGCACGGGAGAGGAGGATAGGGGAGAGAGAGAGAGTTAGGGTTTTTAGGTTGCTTGGTGCTTAATTAACTTATGATCAGTTGTGTAAAAAAAACCTAGGAAAACCTCTATATATTATATATATATATATTAGAGTCCTAAGCAAGCCTAAACTCCTCCCTTTTACTCCATATAGCCGACCACCCCTTGATAGGGCCCAACATTAGGCCTTTCTTCTTTTGTTCAATCCATCACCTCAAAGTGTGACCTCATAGGATCCATTCTATTGGGGTTTGAACTATTTGACTAACCCAAATATCATTGATCACGTCTAGCAACAGATAATGACGATCCAAAAGAATGAACTAATTATCTCCATAATATTGATCTAATAATATATCTAGTAATTGCACTTGACGAAGACATAATTCCTTCATATTATCCCTTGTGAATTAACGAAAAATAATAATTTAAGTTTTTATATTTTGACCCAAATATCTTCATTGGTGCAAACAATTAGAAATGAAAGGAGTATCAAAAGTTTTGTTGACAGTATGTTTGGGTTAGAGGTTTTAAAAACTCACCCGATCAATCTGATCCGATCTGACCTGAAAAAAACTCGATTCAGATTTCAATTCATATGGACATAATAATTTAGCATGACTCAGTTTTAAAATAGATCCTACTCAATCCGACCCGATATTATTGAGCTCGATTCGTATTCGAATTGGCACCTCTAGTTTGGGTAACTATTTTGAAGGGTTAAGGTATTATTCAAATAAAGAAGAGGGTGGTGAGGGGAGGGAAGGGAATGATTGAGCCCAGAAAAAAGGCCCAACTTGTCATTGGGCCAATTGGCCACTTTTAAAGCAAAAGACCAACAAGGCCCGTGGTTAACTTCGAGGCTGGCTGTGTGCGTATTATAGCCCCAATCCCAATTCTTCGGACAACAATTTAATTCACCATTCATTTCAATTTACTTGTCACATGAAGGATTTGCACAAAATTTCAGGTAATAAATTGTTGTTTGTTTATCTACTGCACTTTAATGAAATTGTATAATTTATCCATTTTTTAAGTTGACATGTTTTTATTTTCTACACTATTCACATAAGTTGCTTTGACTTTATTTTGTAATGTAAAGAAAAAACAGTCACGTGGGGTCTTGTTAAATACTTCCTCCGTTTTTTTTTACTTGACCCAGTTTGACTTTTACATTATTCACCGCCCCTCCTTTGACCATCTTTTGTGAATATATGTAAGGGAAAACATATTCATATGGAATCTTCTTAGAATCATCTCAATAAGTAGTACTCCCTTCAATTCATAATGTTAGTCTCATTAGAATCTTTTGGCTACTGAAAAAAAGAGAGAATCTTCTAAATTTCTCTTTATATATAAGAACAAACATAGTCATACAAAATCTAGTTTAATTCGTCTTGGTGACTTCATCATCAATATCTATTTTTTATATATTTTGCAAGTGTGAGATTAATGATATTTGCGAGATTTGCATCGATATACGTAAATGAGACTAAGATTGTGAAACAGATGGAGTATCATTATATATAACTTTTATAATTTTGACATATGGAGAGTTAAAGTTATTAATGGTTAAAGTTTTGCATTGGCAAACGTGATAAATGAAACAGGTCAAGTAATAAAGATTGGAGGAAGTATATATTTCAATGTCTATTTTCCAAATACCAAATTATAATTTGTGCTAATAAAATATTTGCATCTAAAAGTATATGTTGGCAAAAGTACTTAAATTAAATGTGTCAAATAATATGAAATGGAGGAAGTATGTGATAACAAACAATGTAGTAATATTTTATTACCTTTGTTAGTGAAAAGAGAGGTAATACAAATTATAAAATGTTAGTGGTTCCATGTCTTAAAAGGAAGTGTAACAATTAAATTGACACAAAAACTGAAATGAAGAATGTGACAATTAAATTGGGACGAAGAGAATACTGAATTAGTGATTGTTTTAGGTGGTGCTCTAGGTTCGTCATTCCTTTTCGTAATTTCTTTTCTTAAATGAGAAGGTTTGACGTCTATGACAGTACATGGTAAGTAATAGCACGATATTTGAACTCAAACCTCAAAATTTTGGGAGAGAAAAAGGAAAAATACACTTTAATAATCTCATGGGCGATTTACTTTTAATAATCTCAACTAAGGTTTATTATTTAATAATCTCAGCTATGCTATGTGTTTGCCTCCAATAGTCCCAACCGGTCAACACCAAGTCAACGACCTGTTATAACAGGTTATCATGACACGTGTCAACACGTAATTGGTCCAAAATTTAAAAAAAAATTAAAAATTAAAAATAAAATAGAAAAAAAAAACCCCTGACTGCTGCATGCCTTAACCTCCACCACTCCAACTCCTAACCTACACCGCACCAATTACCCAACGTCACCATCCCTGCTCCCACCAATTCCAAGAAGCAGACACATCTCTGCTCCCTCACTCACAACCACCATCACCCACAACAACAGCTGTTACACACATCAAACCACCATTACCACCAATCGCATCGTCATCACCCCTACCACCGAAACCGGCCGGCCGGGCCACTACCACGTACCCCCAACTCCAGCCATCTCCACCTCTCAGCCACCAATTCGCGCAACACCACTCAGCTTCACCCCATGATAACGGTAACGACAGAGCAGTGGCAGCCGCAACTCCAGCCACCATCTTCACCAATATCCCTTGACGAAACATCTCAATCGCAAGATCATCGAGACCCCCTTTCCCGACCTTTCTTCCTCAGGTGGGAGGTGGCCGGCCGGGCAGTTTTCGGTGGGCTGGGGGAAGGGGTGGCTGGCAATGGTTTTTGCTTTTTTTTTTTATATAATTTTTTTTAAATGTTACACCAATCACGTGCTGACACGTGGCTTTTAAAAAACAAAAAAAAAAAATTACCTTTAAAGTAGGTCACCGGTCATTGGGACCATTGGAGGCAAACTGACCCCATATTGGGATTATTAGATAATAAACCTTAGTTGGGATTATTAGAAGTAAATCGCCCATAGTTGAGATTATTAAATTGTATTTTTCCAAGAAAAAAAGTTATAAATTAAAATAATTAAGGTTATGT